TTCTATTCTCTGATTCCCCCCAAATATCAACAATTAAGGTACCTCTTGATATTCGAGTCAGTGTGAACAATCTCCTTTTCCAGCTTAGTATTGGCAGTGGAACTGAAAATGACTCCTTAAATACAGAAAGCACTGCGCTCTCTCTCTCTCTGGACCATGTGTCCTGGGTTGAGAGGAATAAAAGTCGTCTAGGAGCTCCATGTCTACGCCTGTGTGGGAAGTGCACAGTGCTGGGAAGGGGATTTACCGGTCTGCAAAGCTCGTTTCACACAAGTCCAGGTATCAGCACTGCATGTGTTTGCACATAAAAAAATTACTCAGAGTGACTTCACTGCCAGGCTTTTGCTCACCAGTTTTTCCCATGCGACTTTCACCTTGTGTGCTCATTGTCCCACGATTACAAGACAGTTGCTGTACCCCCAGGGATTATGCATATGTGTAAATCCAGAAGGTGGGAAACCAAAACGACGAAGCATTGGCACCTATATAGAGATATCAAAAAGCCTCTAGTGGTGTTTCTTTTATAGCTCACTGGCTAGAAGTGTGTCACGAGAGCAACAGGGAGGCTGGGAAATCTAGCTTCTTAATTGAGTATGCTGCTACAATGAGCAAAGTTAGAATTCTAATAGGACCAACAAAGTGGGAAATTGTTATTGAGTGAACAACCACTGGTGTCAACTATTTCTTAAATGCTATCTAAAATGAACTTCTTGTGTTAAACCCCATACACTCTTACACTTTCAGGAACTTCTTAGAACTCTTCTCTAAAAAAAATAAAGTGATACATAATTTCTCTCAGTAATTAGGAAACATGACACAGTTCTGAATTAATGCATTAGTTTTTCTCTAAAGAAAATTCTTCAGCACTAGGCTCACTATTTTTGTCTATGTGCAGCTAATTGTAGGAAATTATTTAAAAATGTATCTACAACTATTTGTGCAATTATTATTGTTGTTATATCAATTACAGAGGGCTATTGGATGAGACAAATTGACAAAATATATCCTACTATGGACAAATTTTCTCATTTTGCAGTTTTTTTGGACCATAAATTAAATATTTTAACTGCTTGGCTATCGATCAGCAAAATATTGCGTTTGGGAAAATAAAGTCATTCTCAAGTAGAGTTTCATATGGAATTCTGCAAAATTAACATTGAAATTCATAAAACTTTTAAAGATGCTTTACATCTTTTATCCAAATATATAGTGATCTTCCACAAGCAATTTTTTGTTCATTGTTAAAATAAAATAAAATTGAAAAGGTTAAATAGAAACAAAGTTGCTGATGACTTTAATTACATCATGCACACTGGAGAAACTATGTTGAAAGCCTTGTTCAATTACATCCTAAGAAACTCACTGAGGCCTTCCCCTGAGTGCATTTTTATAGCTGATTGATTTCTGCTACAAGATGTTAAGGAAAGGTCTTTTTAGAGAATCAGAGCTATTGTGGGTCAGGACTTGTGCATTAATGACAATTGTTTCCTGGACAGCATGTCACTTTATCTCATCTAGAGACACTATTTTCAGCTGGGACAGTCATTTCTAAGGATAAAATGTTGGTTATTTTCACATCTAACTTACTTCCTTTTATTTATTTTTTTAACTTACTTTCTTTTAAATTGTCATCCCACATTTTCTAAAAGTATATTTTTCTTAATAAGAATACTTAAAAAAACTTTCTTTAAATGCCTGAAAAATGTAATTTAGCGATATATAATATGTAGAATTCACATTTTGTATAGTTAATGTGGACTAAAAATTCTTTCAAACAATTTTTTTTTCCTGTTTCAGTTAAGACTATTTCAAACCCTTGTGATGGCACACTATGCAATTTTGGAAATTCTTTTTAATCTTAAAAAAAAAGTGGGACATGGGGAACCTGGGTGGCTCAGTTGGTTAAGTGTCTGACTTCAGCTCAGGTCATGATCTTACAGTTTGTGAGTTCATGCCCTGCATCGGGCTCTGTGCCAACAGCTCAGAGCCTGGAGACTGCTTTGGATTCTGTGTCTCCCTGTCTCTCTGACCGTCCACCACTTGCACTCTGTCTCTCTCTCAAAAATAAATAAACATTTTTTTAAAAGGGGAGGGACACTAGAAATTGACTACCTACCTATATTTTTCCTAGGACTGGGCTAAGAACATTGCATGAAGTTTCTCATTGGATTTAGTTGTTATTCTAAATTTCTATGCAAGTACACAGGGGCATATAATTTAAGTCACTTAACCAATTTATTATGATATTACGTAACATCCTAGGATTTGGTCATGAAGTATCCTTAAATCATTCTGGAATAAACCTTAGTATTTTAGAAAAATAACAGTTATGAATTACTGCACTATACTATATTATTTACAGTATAACATCACTGTCCTCTTACATGTGGAATGTCTGTTATCAGTGCAGAAGTGTTTGAGAAAGATTTCAAGCCCAATGTCTACCCTTTTTTTAGCAACATGTAGCAGAAACCCTTTGATATCTAAAATGCTGTAAAAGTGTTGAAAAGAAAAGAATATCTAGTATGCTCCTTGTATATAATTAAAAGGTAGGCTTTTTTAGTCTCATTTTTTATGTGCCTGCAAATTAAACATAGAATTTAACAACAGAAATGTTCTGAAATGTTATATTTTTCTTTGAAATATTCATTATTTATTGGATAAAAATATATGAAGGCTGTGTGAAAATTGACTCAACTCGAAATATAAGTACATCTATATTAAACCAGATAACTCTTCTAATAGTCTTTGTTAGGAGTGGTAAAAACTCATGAGAATCACTCATAAATAGATGCCATTCTTGACTATTGCTGATTTTTTATTTTAAAAAATAAAATATTTTTATTTATATTTTTAAGCTTCTTTATTTGTATTGAGAGAGAGAAAGAGAGATCATGAATGGAGGAGGGACAGAGAGAATGGGAGAGAGAGAATCCCAAGCAGTCTCCGTGCTGACAGCACAGAGCCCAATGCAGGGCTCGAACCTATGAACCATGAGCTTATAACCTGAGCCAAAAGCAAGAGTCGGATGCCTACCTAACTGGGTCCCCCAGACCTCTCAAGAAGTTGCTTATCTGATACTTATTTTAGTTCACATTGTATTATTTTTTTTTTTATTTTTTTTTCAACTTTTATTTATTTTTGGGACAGAGAGCGACAGAGCATGAACGGGGGAGGGGCAGAGAGAGAGGGAGACACAAAATCGGAAACAGGCTCCAGGCTCTGAGCCATCAGCCCAGAGCCCGACGCGGGGCTCGAACCCACGGACTGCGAGATCGTGACCTGGCTGAAGTCAGACGCTTAACCGACTGTGCCACCCAGGTGCCCCACATTGTATTATTTTTTATCATCTCCTGATTTTTAGTTTTTACTTCATTTTATTATATATTTATTTTATAATTATAATGCATATAATACAAGGATCTACTTGTATGTATGTATTCTGCATTTACCTAGCTCTGAACATATTCTTCATTATTTTCTTCATAAATTATAATAACTAAGGGGTTAACAGTATGCCCGAGATCCATTATTGTCCCATATACTTATGGGTTGGAGCACACCGGGGGAAGAAAGAAGACAAATAACCTGGTGGAATTCTCTTGAAAACATGATCCTGACAATACTCTTAGCATTCAAATGGTATTAGTTACTGGGAATGCGCTAGCATCTTTTCAGTTGGATGTACCTCATCTAAGATAGTGGTAAACAAACCTGAGATGCATAAACTTATGAAGCAGGGTCCCTTAAAAAATGTTTTGTATGCCATGTAATTATGTGAGTATAAGGGGATATTACAACCAAACATAGCTTTCTTCTGTGTTAGTTATGTGGCTGTGTCCATTACTTCTTGATAATCCCACATGTTAATCTGATTCAGGATGAATCTAATGTAACTAGAAAGGATTTAGGAACCTCTGGAATATCCTGGATCTCTCTCTTCATCTGTGCCTCATGACTATCTTTAAACTATGAGTAAAGGGGCGCCTGGGTGGCGCAGTCGGTTAAGCGTCCGACTTCAGCCAGGTCATGATCTCACGGTCCGTGAGTTCGAGCCCCGCGTCAGGCTCTGGGCTGATGGCTCAGAGCCTGGAGCCTGCTTCCGATTCTGTGTCTCCCTCTCTCTCTGCCCCTCCCCCGTTCATGCTCTGTCTCTCTCTGTCCCAAAAATAAATAAACGTTGAAAAAAAAAAAATTTAAACTATGAGTAAAATGTGAAACTCATTTCTTACTGGACATTTGGCTACATTCGAAATCGATGTATGTTTAGCACATTTTTATTAACAAATTATTTGTCAATGGGGCCATGAACTTTTATGTGGTTTTTAGATTATGCTGCTGTAACATGATCCTATAATGCATTCCCATTTAGACATCACATAACATGATATCATTGTTTAGGACAGAAAAAGGAGAGGAGAGAGAGCAGAATACCTATTTTTCCTGAAAAAAAAAAAACACATTTTCTATGTTTTTGTCTTCACTCTCAGTTAATTTCTCTAATATAAGACAATATTTGAAGAGTGAAGAAATTTCCAACTACGAAAAAATGTCAGTTCTAGACACAGTAGTTCCCCCAATGTAATATATGACAACTTACGTGACAATCAAATTCAAATAAAATATGGAAACATCCAATGAATATTTACCCTTTTTGGCAAAGACTTAAAACTAATATGTAATTAATATAAAAAATACACTTGAAAATCTCATTTGATGTAATACTCCACATTTGTTTTAAGCAGAGAGTAATTGTTGCAGGGATATGAAAAGATAAACTTTTTACTACTATGGGTATAAATGACGGATAATCAAAATATTAAGAAAAACAGTTATTTTATCTTCAATGATTCAGTTACCTCATTTTAGAAAAAGTGAGGACACTTTAAAATGTGCTAAAATAACAATTCCGATGTACGAGAGTACACAGGGATAAAAATATTGGTTTCTTTTTTATTTTAGCACACATCTGCACATAAATTGCACACAGATGCACTAACCTGTTTTAGGGTCTACGGAGAAGTAGGGCTGTCCCTGGAGAATACTATAAACCACCCGCGCACTGTTTCCATAGGTAGGGTCATCTGCATCAGTAGCTGTCACCTGTAGAACAGAGGTACCTGTGAATTCAGGAAAACAAATTTTAGTGTGTGGTAACATTTAGCACATGCTCTGTACACAGAAAAAGGTTATTCTTCAATACCTATGGAATGCTATAAGAGACGTATCCTACTAAATTTAATTCTTGGATTTATCTATCAAACCTGTCCCTTGCTTTTTTCCCATGACCACAACTGTACCAAATGAGAGGCCGACATAGAATATTTGGTCTCCAACATTTTAACATAGTTCTTTCTGTGCTGTCAACACTGTGGAGAGCTTCCTCTGACACTCACATAATTGGGGTTGGGTTGGGTTGATGATCAAGGGTCAAGCGGGTACGCAATGATGGGGTAAAGTTAAAGGTATGGTGAGGACATATGTTGCATGTTACATGATGATTCAGGAAATGGGAGGTGGGATGGTTTGTGATTAGGTTGGAATGTGGGTGAGTTGACATTAAATTATCAATGGCATCAAAACAGCACGTTCAAACCATTTTCATTCATTTATGCCCTTTTTATTTCTTACACAGACTATTAATGAGTCTCCTGACTGGTCTCCAAGGCTCAGTTTTCATTCCTTTAGATTCTTATAAACAGTACCAACCTAATCATCTTTCTACAATGAGTATCAAAATATGCCTATTTTGCTGTTTTTTTTTAATTAAAGTGTACTTTTTTTTTT